ATTCTGACACATGCTACAACATGGATAAATCTCAAAGACTTTATGCTAAGTGAAATAAGATACAAAAGGTTAAATATTGTGTGATTACACTTCTATGAGGAACACAGGATAAATGAACTCAGTGACAAAGTAAAACAGAAGTTACCAGAGGTAGAGAAAGAGGGTAAAGGAAGTTTATTGCTTAAAGAATACAGAGTTCCTGTCTGGGATAATGAACAAATTCTAAAAATAGAAGAGTGGTGATGGGAGCACAATATTGTGACTATATTTAATGCCACTGAATTGTATATGCAAAAATGGATAAAATGGTAAATTTTATGCCATGCATATTTTACCACAAGTCAATTGAATCTTTATAACCACAGAAATTCAACTAAACTAGTAGCTACTTTAGGCAAGGAATTCCATGGCCAACCTTAAGAGATTAATTATATTAAGTATAAGGAAATATCTTTGCCCCTGAAGACCAATATTTATCTGAGAGGCAAATCAACATTGTGGCTGTCTCACAATGGTCTATGTGATCTTATCAGGAATTTCACAAGGCCAAAACTATCTTCATAATAATTCTAAGAGTTTACTTGCCCCTTTCTCTGTGTTGATATTTTCACTGAAGATTCAAAAGCAATGGTTAAAAAGACTGCTAGTGTCTTAGCAGAAATGAAAGCAGTGGCAACAAATTGAACCAGTTGTCATTCTCTATAGTCACTCTACAGTCATTCAGTTTAAAAAAATAAACAAAAAATAAACACCAGTTTCACTTAAGAATGCCCTTGATAACACAAAAATTTTATTAAATCTCCATCCATGAATACATGGCTCTTCAGTACTCTGTATGAAAAAAAAGGGAAGTATGCCCACACCAGACTTCTACGGCTACTGAGAGAAAAAGCAGATTGTGTTATGAAAAGAACTAGTCACACACATTTTTTTTTACAATCATTTTTACTTGAAACGTTGATAAATTGTGTTACTAATACTTGACCAGTCGTCATACATTTTCTTCAAAATGAACAGCTTTTCACTTCAAGCAAAAACTAACGGTATTAGTTGCCAGTGATAAATTTCTAGATGCTGCTTTTAAAAAAACTCACATTTTGGGAAATGTGTGTATGTCCACTACAGTGAACTTGACAGCTTCCCAATCTTAAAACTTGTTTCACAAGATCAATGATAATAATAAGTGTGATGCTTTGATATTACATAAAAAAATACATCAATGTTTGAAAGATTTGCCTGACTCAGTGAACAATTTTTCAAATGACCATGTCACACATTTCACTGGATAAGATTCAAAACACAAGAGACCAATGGATCTTGAGGTAAGAATACAAAAAGTTGATCAAGGTTTCCGATTCAATTTTGACTTATCTAAAAAACTACTACTTTGGTAACAGAATATCCATAATCATCTGAAAAAACTAATAAACTACTCCTCCCTTTTCCCACTACATATGTGAATGTCTTTTCTTTATATACTCAGACACACAGCACAAGACTGATGCAGAACAGATATGAGTTTTTTTGGGCAATATTTCTTATTTTGGAAGAGTGATTTTTCATTTAAAAATATTAACATATAGTGAGTTTTGTGTTTTTTATTTATTTTTTTTTAAATTTTTTTTTTTTTTAAAGATTTGTTTATTTATTTATACAAGCACTGGGTACAGTCAGAAGCGCGGGAGGGTGAGAGAATTCACCGAGCCAGAGCAGGGAGCAGAGCAGGCAAAAGGACTGAAGTACACTGCTGAGGGGAGCAGCGGGCGGCAGGAGAGGTCTGCGCGCCATGTGGGACCCTCCTCCAGTGGCCGGGGAGCAGCCGGGGATCGAACCAGTGCTGCAGAGGCTGCGGGCAGCTTCGCAACCCAGCGTTCAACAGCTGCGCCACCGGGGAGGCCCGAGTTTTGTGTTTTTTAATAATCAACAAATATTTTTCAGTTGACTGATGTCGCCCATATAAACAAAAGCTATTTGGGTTCTCAATCACTTAGGAGTACAAACGCTTCTAAGAGGAAAAAGTTTCAGTGCCATAACACTGCCATAACCCAATGAGCACTATAAACAGAACAAAGGAAGCTTAATTCCAAAAACGTCTGCAGTGAATAAAATATACACCTGGAGGCAGAGGAGTCTATTTTTTAGTTTGGGATGGGGGACGAAGGACAATTCAAGAAACTGCATTATTTCAATGTACCCTAGAAAAAGGTAAGTAGACTAAATATGACAGAAATTTGGGTAGCATAAAAGTAAACAGGGTTTCTGAAGATAGACTAAGAGGGGCTTGGTCTATAGATTACAAACTGCAAAGTTTATTTTATAAACATGAGAAGCCATCCACGAATTTGAAACTGAAGAACAAGTCTTTTAAAAATTATACCTACTGTGTCAAGACTTTCATATACCAGTATATCTTTTTTTTTTTTTTTTTTTTTAGTTCAAGTTTTGAGGATGGTGAATGAGGTTTAGTTGTGAAACAAAGCAAACTTTAACATTTGTTTGGTGTGTAAGGCTCTAAACCATGCCTCATAAAAGAAAAAGGTTGATTCAGAAAGTACCTGAATGTAAAAAACCAAACATTCACATTTAACGGTATGGTCCCTGATTTAAAAAAAAAGTCAAGTAACAGGGTTTATACTTTATCCTTTAATTCAAACAAATTCATGTTACACCAAGTGTACCGCAAATTAAACAAGACTCTAAATAGCTTTTTTGGGTCTGATCTTCCTCTATTTTGTCTTGCTGTCCACACCTGTTTGACCTGCAGGCTATGAAATGACGTTTTTGGAATATACTGCATTGCTTTCAGCCTGGCTATGTCGACACAAAAACAAAACAAATCCATAATAGGGGCCTCTGGGATTGGATGGGAAACGCCTTCCGCTGGAGGACTGGTTGTTCTATGAGTCAATCAAGTAATTCTTGGCAGAAAGTCAAGCAAATACAAAACAGACTTTGAAAGAAGCTAGTCGACAACTCTACGATAATATCGTTTAAAAACGTTCTGTATTTGATCAATCTTCACACTCTTTTCGTACGTCTCTGTCCCACTGCTGAAAATAAACCAACATTATCCTACCATAAACAAGTGAATTAAAAAAAAATAAGAGATACTATCTTCTCTAAAAAAGATTCATGGCATTCATTCGCTGCAATGGATAAGCAACTTACAACCCTGTAAGCTATCACGTTGAGTTGCTTTAGAAAGTATTTTAAAGCTTCGGTGAACCTAACAGTTAAACCAAGTATGTCTAAGTTAAGGTCTCTATCTCTTTTTAGCATATCAGCAAATCCTTATCTCTGGCTGCTCTGAAGGGCACTTACACATTGTAAGTATTTTCAACTTGGAACTGAGAACTCTTTGACAGTTAGGAACTAGCTAAGGCAGCTACCCCCAAAATTGTATTTTTAAAAAAACCCCAGCAGAATTTAACGGACACCCCTAATATGGGGCCAGTTTCAGAGATTAACAAAGTATTCATTTTTCATTTTTCACCAACAGCACAAGCATAAAGATCCGAAAAAAACATTTCACGATCCCAAGCGAATTCCTTCCAAAATGTTAAGCAGCCGGATGAGCGCGTTCAGCCTCCCTAAACCAGCCTGCGCTTTGCTCCAACTCCCAGACACCGGGGGTCAATTTGGAGAAGTGACGCCGCCGATAAGAGGTACGCGGTGGAGACAAGTGGCTCCAGAGCAAACTATGACACTCAATTTTGTCATCTCTCCCTTTCTTGGCGCGGCCCAGGCAGCAACGCGTATTCCCTTCATCTTGGGGCCAAAATCTGGCGCCAGGTTTCAAATTCATTTCGGCGGCTGTCATCAAAGGGGAGCCGCGAGGGGCGAGCCCAGCTCCCCATTGATCCTGGGAGGGTGCAAACAGGGAGAGAAGCGCTCCCAGGACGACAGCAACCCCACCCGGGGCCCCTCAGCTCGCCCGGACCTCCCCGCTGCGAAGCCGCCGAGCGCGAGAACAATCTTCACCCCCAGCCCTGGACGCTCGGGTCGCGCCCTCCTCGCCGGGCGCCCACGCGGCGCGGGTGCCAGCAAAGCCCTCGAGTGCCCGGGAGAGCAGCGGGAGCCCCACCAGCCCGGGAACTTACCCAGTTTCTTCCACATGGCGAGGTGACAAGCCAGGAAACCTTTGCGGATGGCAGCGCAGACCTTCGCCGGCTCGGACGAGGTGAACCCCTTCTGCTTCTTGATGAAACCCCACAAATGTTCCCGGGCAAACTGTGCCGCCTCCCGCCCGCCGTGCCCGTCGCACACGGCGAAAAACGCCACCGAGGACCGGCGCCGGCAGCAGCGCGCGGCAGCCGGCGAGGCCGCGGCGTCCGGGGGACGGTCTCGCGCTTCCCGGGCTCCCCCCGCCGGGCCCTTCCCCGAGGCGCCGCCGCCCGCCAGGGCCGGCGGTGACGGCTGCGGCGGCGACAGCGGAGCGACGGGGCGGCGCGGCGAGGGCGTCTCTTCAGCCGTCGGCTCGGGCTCCACCACGATCTGAGTAACGTCCTCCATGTACTTCCTCCCGCCCTGGTCGGAGAAGACGCTCACTCCCAGCGAGTACAGCCCCGCCATGGCCGGCTGGCCGGGATCCCGCCGGCCCCACGCAGCCCGCCGAATCCCGCGGCGGGAGACGCGCTCCGGGCCCGCCGGCCAACTATTGTTTATCTTCGACGACGCCGCGGAGGGGAGGGGGGCCGGCCCGGAGGGGGGGGCGCGCGATGTCGAGACTTGTCCGCGAGAGCTGGGCCGGAGCGCTAGGGCGAGAGGAGCCCAGCAGCTGCGCCTGCGCAGTGCGCTTCCCTCGCCTGCCGGCGCCCACCACACAAATCAGACGTTCTCCCCCGCTGTCGTCACTCGGCTCTCTGGGGCCAGCCAATCGGGAGTCGAGTTGGAGCTAGCCCGCCGCCCCGCCCCGCCCCGCCCTGGCTCCTCCCAGCAACGGCCGCGCTCCCTCCGCCCCGCGCGGCCGCTGGGCCCGCGCGCTGCCGGGCTCGCCTCCCTTCGCCGTGGAAAACCCCTCCGGGTTGTCGGCGGGTGCGGAGCGCTCGCCGAGCGGCCGGGGCTGTCGCGTCTTTTCCTCTGTCCCGCGGAGTGTAAGGCGGCCTGCTGCTCTGAGCGGCTCGCCGCCGCCAGGCGGGAAGCCGTGTAGGCTTGGGCCTCCCACGGGTGTGGAGACTCTGAGGAGAAAGACCTTGCAGTCCTTGAAGTGAAATGGCGGGAAAGCTCACTTGGCAAGGTCGTTTGCGAACGCACTGGAAAAGTGTGGCACTTGGGAGCAGCATCTGGGTGGAATTTATCTGACTGGGCATACAGCATTCTCTCCGTGTGTGTCACTTCACGTTGTCACTCGAAAATAGCTTCTACAAAAACTGCCGAGCGCTCCTGTGCTCGGGTAATCATTTGCTTAAGGTCCCTGCTCCTCGCCCAGCAGGTTGCCCTCCAAGCGCCAAAACCTTAAAACGGATTTCCACGGAATTAAAAATAAGCCTCAGACTGGGCAGGTTAGTGTCTTCTCAACAGCGGACGTTCTTGTAGTGATTCTTTTTCAATTTCAGTTTTCCAGTTTGCGATGTGCTCACCATCCACTCCCTTGTGCCCTTTCTTTTTTTTTTTTTTAAATAATAAATTTTATTTTTATATTCCCCATACAATTGCAGCCCCCCCATTCTGACCCCAATCCCTCCCCTCCCGCCCCCGCCCCCCTAAAAGTGTCTCTGGTTCATAGTTTTTTGTTGATTTTGATTTTCACTTTCTTATAGTTATTCATTTTCCTGGTCCCTTATTTAAGTTTTCTAGATTCCTGCTATGAGTGAGACCATCCGGTATTTTTCTTTTTCTTTTTGGCTTATTTCGCTGAACATGATCCCTTCCAGCGCCATCCATGTTGCTGCAAATTGCATGTGTTTATCTTTTTTGAATGCTGAGTAATATTCCATGGTGTATATGTACCATATCTTCTTGATCCAGTCATCTATTTTTGGGCATTTGGGTTGTTTCCAAAGCTTAGCTATTGTAAACAGTGCTGCTATAAACATAGGGGTGCAGGTGTTCTTTGGAATTGATGTTTCTGTGTCCTTTGGGTACTACTGTTAACATTTTGTACATACCAAAGTTTTACCATTTTCCCAAGTGACAATGCTTCCCTTCCAGTTTTACTTCATTAGGTAAAATCCAAATAGAACAAATTCATCTAATGCCTTCCTAGGAGGAAAGGGAGAAACTTCGTGGAGTGTCTCAGGAGCTCTACTGAGGTTCCACAAAATTTCCTTGCATCAGTCAAATGACAGGCTACCAAATTTGTATTTGAATTTAGATTTTTGGGAAGCTTTGCCATAAATATCAGAAAATTAACAGAAACAACAATATTCAATGTCTATGAAGGCACCAGCTTAGTTTAGTAGCACAGTGTTGACAATCAAACCATATCTTTTTGTTTTTCTCATAACCGGAGACTCTTTTTTTTTTTTCCAACGTCTATGGGCACCATGTATACCAATCTGTCAATCACTGGAGGTCAAGACAGACAGAAGGACATACAGACATACAACATATAGACAAAGACAGTTTTTTTAGTTATGCCACGTAGAATATGTTATGTAACTGCAGTTTTACTCCATAGGTTCAGAAAAAAAAAGTCAAAGTCCAAAAAAAATGTGGAGTGTTGCTGGCAGAAAAATTTCCAGTTGTCATCCTACAAACCTAAGACTTTGGAAATAGGAAGGAAAAGTTTTATTAATCACAAGAGTTACATGACCTTGTTTATCACCTTAGGGTTTTCAGTGTTGAAGACTTTTTATTAGAAGTCAATCCTGGGGTATTCTGTACAGCAACTGAAAGAATAAAAGTTAACTTTTAAGCAAAAGGAGTCATCTCTTGTTAGCCACCAAGCAGGCACTCCTTGGGTTTCCTGGAATAGAACCTGAAAAAGCAAAATCAAATTATCAGTAATTAACTTTCAATTAAAAGGAGTCATCTCCTTACTTCTGTTAGCCACTCTGGGACAGAAGCTGAAAGAGCAGATTCAACATCTAAGCACGGATTACCCCTCCCCCACACTAGGGAGGGACAACAACAACACAGGTATGAAAACCTGGTACAGTTACATGATGCACCCTAAAGAGTGCTTTCCATAACAGACCTTCCTCAGTAGGAAGCAGAAACTTAGAATCTTGTCTTACACCAGCAATTGAACAAATCCAGTATTCAAAATGGCAAACATGCCCAAAACAAATTCTGTAGACAAAATTCACAGTAGCAAATCCTTTCAGACTCAAACAAAATCTTGTTAATTTTTCTGATCCAGACTTTGCAAAAATTCAAGTTATCTCCAAGAATCCATCAAGGGGCCTCCCTTGGTGGTTCAGCAGTTGAGCGCTGGGCTGTGAAGCTGCCCGCAGCCTCTGCAGCGCCGGTTCGATTCCCGGCCGCTGGTGAGGGTCCCACATGGTGCGCAGACCTCTCCTGCCGCCCGCTGCTCCCCTCAGCAGTGTGTTTCTTCGTCAGCCTGCCTGTTCTGTTCCCCACTCTGGCTCTGGTGAATTCTCTCACCCTCCCGCGCTTCTGACTGTACCCAGTGCTTGTATAAATAAATAAATAAATCTTAAAAAAAAAAAAAAGAATCCATCAAGGATACCAGCAATTACCAGTTACTGCTTAAGGCTACCCAGGCATACATTTGCTAATTTAAACACCACTGCTCCACAATTGGCTGGCAAAATGCATCAGGCAGAGAGCAGGAAGTAGCCAAAGACAAAGCAACATACCACTGAAGAACCATTATTGCCTTTAGAAATGCTAATGAGACAGCAGAGATTACAAAAAGAAAGAAAAAAAAAAGTTCCAAAGTCCTAGCAACAAGAACCTCTGAATTTTATAAGAGCACTCCAAGTGGCCTCAGACGCCATCTTTGATCTGGCCACATGGTCCAATGTACTGCCTAATCTTTTGAGTAAAACTGGCACAGAACAATTTCCACAAATTAAAATCTCTTAGCAAGTCACTACAAACAAATTACACACAAACACACAGAATCTTCACAAAGCCCAAGCCAGTTTTTCAACAGCAAATCGACATATGAAACAAACACACTGGAGAAACCAAAAATCACATTTGCGCTTATGGTAGCCAGTGCCATAGGGAAGCCCAATTTCCCCATGGTGCTGACTAACCACGGATGGCTGTCCTAAATCTTCGTGGTCGCCAAATCTGTTATAGGACAGGGAGAGGGGCAGCCCAAAACCCCGCAAACCTGCCTATTCTAAATGGGTTCTGCCATCCGCCGCATCAATACAGAACATAGGAGACTTTAATGGGAAGGAACTTTAATAAAACTAGGAAACAATACAGGTAAGGCAAAGAATCTAGTTTCTAAATGAAGCACCCAAGGTTACCCGTCCCTTCGTGGGTAAAAGTCCATCCAAATGGGATTGGCCCAGAACAAGGCCCCAAAGCCTGCTACAAGTCTAAAGCATCTTCCAGTGGGGACCCACAGAAAAGGGTCACAAACAACCGGACAAGCCCAGAAGGAAAAGAGCAAAATCAACATCAAGATAAAAGCTGCCATGGTCACCTCCCCACGGGTCTCACCCACATCTGTGTCACCCAGTCCACGACCAAAAGACAAGCGCAGTTTCTTCACGTGTCTCTAGGCTCCATGCGCCTCCTCCAGGTCTCCTGGCTCCATCCTGCTTCCTACCCCTTGTGCCCTTTCTTCCCGTAAGGCCTTGGAGATTTGCAAAGGGAACCATACTAGTACAGAAATAGGAACGGAAAAGATACGCATACAAACAGCTGATCCAAGGGATACAAGTAGACAAAGTCTTTGTAGCAATATAAATAAGCAAAATGAGCTCAATCTGTAAAGAATCAGATCAGTTTTTAAAACGTAGTCAAAATATCCCCTGCGCCAAAATGCACTACACCAGATGGTTCTAGAGTGTGAAAGTACTTGGAAGAATCCCAGCTTGTTTTGAAAGATGATCCACAAATCTGCTATCAAAACCTACAGTTAAAACCTAGACAGAAACCTATAGGCCATATTTTATAACGAGGCCAAAATCCTAAATGAAATACTAGCAATTCTAATCCAACACCTTCCATACAAAGACTTGCAAGAGAGAACAGTTTGTGTAGCACCATATCCTTCATTAAGGAGTTTTCCCAGCTCCACCCCACTACCCCAGATGACAAGAAGTTGGGTTTTTTTTATTTTATTTATAAATCTTTTTCACTCAGTCTCCACCACTAACCTCCAGGTCATCCATCATTACCCTGATTAATATATATAGGGTCCTCTCAACTTACATTCATCGGGCCTGTGTCCCACTCTTCACCAACCATGGTAGCCATTTCACTCCACACTTGATAGTTGAACAGCTGTAATCAGCCATTTTCCCTTTATTCTTCACCTTCTTTAAATGATCCCCATTAACTTTCTGTTCCAAATGGCAACTGGAACCTGGCAAAACTACTGCTCTGGCAACTTTCTGAATACAAGAGGTTGTTTTTTTCCCTTCATAGCTCTTCTTATCTTTGAAGCTACTTCTCATGTTGCCTTCAAATCATTTCCTTCCTCCTTCAGAAGCATAGACTCTTTTAAAGTTAATACAAGCCACCACTACACAAAGGCGTCACCTACAGATCCCTGGTAACGCCCCTTTTATGTTTGCGGTTCACTGTCTTCCACTACTTGTCATTTCTCAGCCTCTTCATTTTTTTTTTAATTAATATTTAAAAAAATTTTATTTTTTAAATATTTTCAGAGCCACCATAGCTCTAAAAACTGTCTGTTGATGACTCCCAAATCTGTATCTTCTCTCTTGAACATTACCCTGAATTTCAGACTCTGAGCAACCATACACTTGAGAGTTCCCCATAGAGATCTAATGGGTATTTCAACTTAACATGGTAAAACAAGTTCTTGATTTCTCCTTATCTGTTCCCCTCTCAGCCTTACCTATATCAGTAAGCATCACCATCTACCTACCACCTTCAAACCAAAAAGCATAGTTCTATTCCTCTTTTTTCCACCTGTCTTCCCCCTTCTTCTGCCCCTCCCCCAATTTCCAATTATTCTAATTCATTAGTGAATCCTTTTCACTAAATCTTCAAAATCCATACTGAACCCACTACTTCTCACTATCTCCAGGCTACAAGGCCCATCCACGTCACCATTACCTTTTACTTAGACCACTACATTAGTCTCCTCACAAACCTTTCTTTCACACTTAGTTTCACTTCTCTGCAATTCTTGATCTTTCAAAACGATAAATCAGAGAAGTGATTTACTACTCAGTACACTTAGTGACATCCCATCACGTTTAAAATCTGGTGCAAACTCTTTTTGAAGGCCTACAAGGTTGATTTGGTCCCTAAATGTCTAACATAATTTCATAAGGGTTTTTCCCCCTTCCCTTCTTTGAACAAGCCAAGCTATTAGGGTCTTTTGTATTGGCTGTTCCCTCTCTTTAGAATGCTCTTTCCACTATTATCAGCTTTACAAACTGAATTCTTCTTACTATTCAGATCTGAGTTTAAATATCAAGGAACTTTCATAACCATATAGCCTAAAGTAACTAATGGTTTTCTATCCTCTAGCCCCAGTTTAATTCTCTGCAGAAGACTTCACGAGCTAATCTTTTTGTTAGTTTATTTGTGTATTGACTCTCTCAATAAGAGTACAGGCACCACGAGACCAGGCAACTTGTCTTGTTCACTGCACTATCCTCTGATCCTAGAACGAAAGTTGTTAAGTGCATTGATTAATTTACTCATTTGGCAAGAAATGTTTAAAACTGATATGAAGAAAATGAAGAAACTTTACCAGAAGAAAAATAAATCTCTAAAAAAGTGGAAAAATATATCACATTCCTAGATGAGCAGCTTAATTTGTCCAAATTAATCTACAAATTTATTATAATTTTAGAATTTATTATAATTTTAGAAGTTGATTCCAAATTCCTGAAAGTTTATTACAAGTTGATTTTAAAATTTATCCAGAAAATAAAATAGATAAGAACACAAAGATGTTATTGAAAAAGAAAACTATTGAGATAATTAGTTACTCTACAGGTATCAGAATATTTTAAAAGGATGGCGGTGTCAGAGAAATGAGCAAATGAATCTGTAGAATAGAACAGAGGGTCCAGAAAAGGATTGATGCATGTATGGGAAGGGGAGCATATGATGAATATGGCATTTCAAACAGTTGAGGAAAGGACTGATTATTTACTAGCTAATATTAGGATGCCTAGTTATCCCTTTGTTGGGACATCTCATTATCCTTAAAGGGAAAAAAAGTGAAGTTCTTATACCAGTTTTTAAATATTAGTGAGTGAATTAAAGAGCTAATTTTTTTCTTTAAAAATTTATTATTTATACATACAAGAACTGGTATAGGCCAGAAGTTTGGGGGAGGGGAGAGGGGGGCTGTGAGAGGATTCACCAGAGACAGAGCAGCGAACAGAAGAGGCAGATCTACTGAAATCTACTGCTGAGGGGAGCAGGGGTGAGACAGGAGAGGTCTGCTGTGCCTTGTGGATACCTCCCTGGCTGGGGATCAAACTCATGTTGCAATGGCTGGTGGTGTCTTGATAGCACTGAGACTTTAACCTCTGGGCCACCAGGGAGGCCCTAAAGAGCTTAATTAAGAAAATGGTATAAATGTACATGAAGAAATTATGATTTTTTTCACCTATCAGACTGACAAAAACCTTTTTTTTTAATTTTTTTAACATTTATCATTTTTTACATTGTTTTAGACAATATTTGCTTCCCCCCACCCCCTCAGATTGAGTCCCCATAGAGTTTCCTTCCCCAAGGCACCCATGCACCATCACCACAGTCCCTGGTGCTCCTCCCTCCCTCCCTCTCTCCCTCCCTCCCTCTCTCCCCTCTCCCTCCTACTCCCCTGCAGTATGTCTCTGGTTTATAATTGTCTGTTTTTGCTTTGTTGTGTTTTGTACTGTTATAATTTTTTTTTTACACTGATGTCTTATTTGGTTCCCCTACATTCCTGTTATAGGTGAACCATCCGATATTTTTCTTTTCCCTTCTGGCTTATTTCACTGAGCATAATTCCTATCTAGCTCCATCCAAGTTGCTGCGAATGGCATGAGTTTATCTTTTTTGATTGCTGAATAATATTCCATTGTGTGTGTATACCACATCTTCTTGATCCAGTCATCTATTTTTGGGCATTTGGGTTGTTTCCAGGTTTTACCTATTGTAAATAATGCTGCAATAAACATAGATGTACAGGTGCTCTTTTGAATCACTGTTTGACAAAAACCTTTTAATTTTGATAATATATATAGCTGGGAAAGGTATGGAGATAATCAATTCTCATCAGCTGTTAGTGGAAATATAATTTGATATTTCTATTTCAGTCTATATCAGCTGAAATTTAAACTACACATGTTCTTTGGCCTAGAAGTTGACTGCTAGGAATTAACCATATAAATATCTTTGGAAAAGGTATGTATATAAGAGCTTTCATGACAGCAATGCTTATCATAGCAAGTTAATACTTTTTTAAAATACTGGAAGAAAATGTGGGATAAAATATACTCAAAAAAGAAACAAAACCTCTTAACTCTCTTCTCTTATATTCCCACTGGTTTTATGTTTAAAATGTCCTTTTTTACTTCTGAGATTAAATAGGACTAACATTTCATGTTTATCCCCCGAAAACATGATTAAATCCCCCGAAAACATGATTAAAATGTGTTTCTGTGTTCAAGTTTATATGGAATTATTTTGGCATGAGCTGAATTTGAATTTTTTCCACATTAGTATGTTTCCCAATGTCTTTTGTAAAATGACTTTTTTTTATTTATTGGTTAGTGATACCACCATTATTGTATAATAAGTTTTTATGTATCCTTGGATCTTCAGGGGTAATTCTTTTTTTTATACTTTATAAACATTGGTTTATAACATTATATAAGTTTCCAGTATGACATTATATTTTGATGTCTTTATACACTGTATCTTGATCACCACTTAAAGTCTAATTTCCATCCATCATCTTAAAAATGACCTCCTTTACCCAGTTCACCCCCCCCATGGATTAATTGTTCCTATCCATGATTTATTGATTTGAGAGTTGTATCTTGCTTTAATTATTGAGTTCTAAATCTTCAATCATAAACTGTAAGAATTAATTTTGGAAGTAAAACAAAAAAATCTAATAAATTTGTTATTGTTTTTCCCATAGCCAGAAAATATCAGTAACATCTACTAAGTAATGGCCCATTGCTCATCTATTAAAGCCAACCTGTGTATTTAGAATTATAAGATAATGTGTCTAGAGAGATTAAATTCTATACCCTTCCCTTTACTCTGAACCATTATTCTTGTAACTCAGTATTTAGCAAAATAATCAGTCAATTCTGACTATCACTGTCACATTCATTGTGCACAAATGTAAACTGGTATGAGACACAAAATTAGAATCACTGCTGCCGGAGTCCCAAAGGTGTCAAACCTGTATGTGTTCTTAATTAGCCATGGAAATTCAATCTGTCATGTTTTCTACAGATAACTGGTTTCAGAGTCATTAATGTGGAAAGAATATTCATACCTTTTCAGATAGCGCTGCTTATATACTTGGCTTTGTTTTCTAGAGCGATCTGACCTTACTCTTGAATTTATTGCTATATCTTGAGAAAAAGTTTCATGATTTTCATTTTATTAAAAGGTAAACAAAAGTTATTTGTTTAAATAATTTGGAAATGTGTTTTGTTTCTTGAAGTAATTACGTATGACTTAATTCTGCTCGGCAATACTATTTACTCTGCTTCTGTTGGAGGTTTTAAGCTACAAATAGAGTGCCCTTGAGAATTGAAGACAAAATTAGAGAAGACTACCTTTAAGATAGGAACTAGTAAAATTTAAACACTGTGTTTGCTATTGAGTGCCAGGAAGATAATTTGGTTTCTGATCAAGGGTAAGAGTAGATTATTTTAAAACACTAACTGCCTCTTTTGTGCTAAGTTGTAAGGCATAACATTCTCCCTCCCCCCCCCCCATTTTCTTTTTCAGTGCAGTCTGTGGGATTTGAGTGAACTTAGAAGGTACTTCAGAGCTGACTTTTAAAGGTGAACTATTAAATCACCTATTTAAAGACAGGAAGCTTATTATTTTTAAAAGAATATTGGTCAAGTAGCATGAACACTTAATAACATAGTTTGCTTTTGATTTAATCTTTTATTATTCCCCTAGGATATTCTTTCAGCAAAATATTGGATTGTCCCCCTGCATACACTTTAACAGAAAAATTGATTTTACTTTCCTAGCTATTTAATACAGCACAAATTACTTAGATCTACCTCCTAAATTGTTGTTAAAAAAATAGTACTTGGGGGCCTCCCCTGGTGGCACAGCGGTTGAGCACTGGGCTGGGAAGCTGCCTGCAGCCTCCGCAGAGCCAGTTTGATACCCGCCTGCCAGCAAGGGTCCCACATGGCACGCAGACCTCTCCTGCCGCGCCCGCTGCTCCCCTCAGTAGTGTATTTCGTCAGTCTGTTCTGCTCCAGCTCTGGCTCTGGTAAATTCTCTCACCCTCCCGCGCTTCTGACTGTACCCAGTGCTTGTATAAATAAATAAATCTTTTTCTTTTTTAAATATTTATATTTTTATTTTTTTATACAAGCACTGGGTACAGTCAGAAGCGCGGGAGGGTGAGAGAATTCACCAGAGCCAGAGCAGGGAGCAGAGCAGGCAGAAGGACCGAAGTACACTGCTGAGGGGAGTAGCGGGCGGCAGGCGAGGTCTGCGCACCATGCGGGACCCTCCTCTGGTGGCCGGGGAGCAGCTGGGGATCGAGCCGGCGCTGCAGAGGCCGCGGGCAGCATTGCAACCCAGTGCTCAACCGCTGCACCACTGGGGAGGCCCAATAAATAAATCTTAAAAAAAAAAAAATAGTACTTGGAAAATGTCTAGGACAGTGTCCGCATACAATAAGCACTCTGTAACTGTTAGCTCTTATCATTGTTATTAATGATTTATTTCTGTTAAGCTTTGTCATCAAATTTTCTGAATAGTTTTATTTTTCACCTTATTCTCCTATAATCTGGATTTATCCTCTTTACCATCCAGAACCATCCACTACTTACTTCCTAATTACAAACTTGAATTCCAATTATCTTGCTCATTGACCTCTATGCTTACTTTATAGCTTTCATCACACATATACATATATGTCTTAAATGTTTTATTTTAGCATATATTAGCATATATCCATTTGCCAATCTTTTCATGTGGTGGCAAGACCTCAAGATCTTTTATTTGACTATGAGTCCACTGTTTGGAGTTAAGCATCCTTCCTTTTTCCATCAATATTACATTACCTATGACTTTTAATTTTGACTTCTTTGAAGTAGCACAGAAAACTTAAAACTGAGAAAAATTCAGAACAAAGTTTTCTCAATGCAGAATCTCCTTCTAGATTTTATGACTTCCCTAACCCACCAAATCTTTTACAGTAGTCTCACTCAAACCTAACTCTTAACAGTTTTTTTATTGATTTGCCTTTATTAAATCTTTCTAAAGCATTAGATTCAGTTTTCATAGAGAGAACTTATTTTTCCTCCACTCATATTTCATCATATTATGCAACATTTAAATATGTAATTAAACAAGAACAACTGGAACAAACAGGTTTGTGAACAAGTGTTAGCTCAGCTTGTAGGTGCAGTGCTGTCTCGTTGAATGAGAAAATTGAAGTCTAGCTTCAAAAATTCAGCATGCATTAGGTATTAGTGTCTTTTTTAGAGGCAATGAAGAACACTAGCTAATCAGACAAATCATTTAAGTGGAGATTGGTGGAAAGAACTTCTGCTGTGTAATTATTCTTGAAAGGGCTTTAATAAAAAAATGAGATGAAGTAGAAAAATTCATAGAAAATGACTGAGACTCTTGTAATGAGAATAATTTACTCTGCTGGCTTTTAAATACAATAAACTAAAAGTGAAATAAAAAATTTTCTGATACTCTAGTGGACAATTTGTGTGTTTGCCATCCAGCTCACCATTCTTTTGGTAAAATGATACAATGATTTTCTTCTAGGGAATCACTCCCTTCTCCACTCAAACTATTGGGTAGCATTAGTCCCAATCCCAGTTTTAGGCAAGGGCCCATATTAGGATAGACTAGTCAACATATTCCACCTCTGTGGCCTTATTGTTCATTAATGAAGCTCATAACTTATGCACAAGTCAAATATGAAGAGACATTTGCTGGGGTTTCTGGGAGAGAAAAGCTTATCCATGTTAATAAAATCACTGATAGAGATATTTATTTCAGGATTTGGTGTCTACCAATGTCAAATTGGGACTGCTGTAGCCATCCTGCTAACAGGAGGGAAAATAGCCTGAGATGAGGCTGACATTCAGAATAAAAGATGTGGGAGCTAGGTCCTGGTGACATTATTTCAATTTAGAATTAACTCATGACCATCTCTGGACCAACCAACATTCTTTTCAGTTTCCCTTTATTGTGAAACCAATTTGCCTTATATTTTTCTTCGCTTGCCACAAAAAGAATCTTCAATGACAAATCTGTTCCTCCTCACTAAGGAACTGGGAATGACACAATAAATCTTACTTGTTAGGACTCTGAAATGTTTTGCATTCTTCTGTGTTGCAATGTTGCTTTTATCCCAACAGTCTGTTCAGAGATTTCTGCTTCTTTGTGTTTCTTTTTGATATCCTAACTTTTGTCCTAGATTGTGCTTAGGCACTAATTTAAATTACAGTTTTTGGGCCTCCCTGGTGGCCCAAGGGGCTGGGGTGCAGCCTATGAAGCTATCTGCAGCCACTGCAGCATGAGTCCTGGTCATGGAGCTACCCATATGGTGCAGCAGACCTCTCCTGACTCCCCTGCTGCTCCCCTCAGCAGGGTATTTCAGTCACTCTGCCTGTTCTATTTCCCTCTCTGTCTCTGCTGGGTCCTCTCACCCCCTGCTCCTCTGGCCTGTGCTCCAGTTCTTGTATGCATAAATAAATAAATCTTTAAAAGAAAAAAATTAAAAATAAATTATAGTTTTTATTTTATTTTTTTAAAGATTTATTTATACAAGCACTGGGTACAGTTAGAAGCGCGGGAGGGTGAGAGAATTCATCAGAGCCAGAGTGGGGAGCAGAATAGGCAGAAGGACCGAAGTACACTGCTGAGGGAAGCGGCAGGCAGCAGGAGAGGTCTGTCCCATGTGGGACCCCTGCCCGGCAGCCAGGGATAGAACTGGCGCTGCAGAGGCTGCAGGCAGCTTCGCAACCCAGGGCTCAACTGCTGTGCCACCAGGGAGGCCCTATAGTTTTTATTTTTAAAGATTTATTTATTTATGCATACAAGAACTGGGGTCTAGGCCATGTGGGTTAGCTCCCTGGCTGGGGATAGAACTCATGCTTCAGTGACTGGAGATAGTTTGATAGTGCTGAGATTTTAACCCCTGTGCCACCAGGGAGACCCTAAATTACAGATTTTATGTATAGAGGCTTCATTGATTTCTCTGTAACAGGAAAATATTTTTGTATGTTTCCTGATTTTCTACTCCTAGAAATTCCTATAACTTCATGACTCTTTCCTCACTCATAAACTCATTTTGTATAATGCAGGAAAGTGACGTTAGAAGTTAAATATTCAGATTTTTTGTTTTAAAAATCATGGTATGCAAAAATAAGCAATTCATCAGAATCAGGTAATACAGATTTTAGAAACTTGCAGGCAGACCTCTGCAAGGATGTTCACAGCACCATTGTTTGCAAAATGAAAAAATTGAAAACATCCATCAATAGTGGAATAGATAAGAAAATGTGATGTATTCACATGACTGTGATAGCTGTTAGAGAAATGTTCTTTTAGGAAGAGTGTATCAGACATTGGTCAGCTGACCCATCAACCATTTCTACCTTCTTTCTTCATTTGCCACTTTTTATAGAGGATGAAAAGGCTAAATACTCCCTTTCTAAAAGAAAAATACCAGATGGTTTCACTCATAACAGGAATCTAGAAAACCTAAATATGGACCAGGAAAAAGAATAACTACAAGAAAGAAAAAAATCAAAATCAACAAACAACTATGAACCAGAGACACTCTTTGGGGGTAGGGGGATGGAGGGATTGGGGTCAAAATTGGGGTTGCAATTGTATGGGGAATATAAAAATAATAAAAAAAAAAAACCTCCCTTTCTAAACTTCCTATACCTAAGACACTGGGTAATAATGATCAATGAGTTATAAATGAAGTTTGTTGGGGAAATTTGGGGACAACGGCTGCTGCATTGCCTTTTGCCCTGCATACAACTGAAAGGAAATGCCGAGAGAAGTACAGAGATTCTGGTGCTAACATTTACCCCAACAGGTGTATTTTATTTATTTTTAATTTTTAAAAATATTTATTTTACTTATTTATGCATACAAGAGCTGGGGTGTAGATCGGGGAAGGGGGACAGGTGAGAGGATTCACCAGGGACAGAGTGGAAAGCAGAACAGGCAGATTGACTGAAATACTGAGGGGCCAGACAGGAGAGGTCTGCTGCACTTTATGGGATAGCTCCCTGGGCAGGGATTGAATTTGTGCAGCAGTGGCTGCCCATAGCTTTATAAGACTTAACCCCTTGTGGGCCTCCCCTGGTGGCGCAGCACTTGAACGCTGGGCAGAAAAGTTGTCCTCAACCTCTGCAGTGCCGGTTCAATCCCTGGTCGCCGGCGAGGGTCCCACATGGCGCGACAGACCTCTCCTGCCGTGCCCACTGCTCCCCTCAGCAGTGTATTTCGTCAGTCTGCCTGTTCTGCGCCCCGCTCTGGCTCTGGTGAATTCTCTCACCCTCCTGTGCTTCTGACTGTACCCAGTGCTTATATAAATAAATCTTTAAAAAAAAAAAAAAAAAGTCTTAACCCCTTGTGCCACCAGGGAGGCCCAGAGGATTTTTTTATATAAAAGATAAAAATCCCTGTTTGTTCAGTTACTCTTACTTGAATTTTATATTATTCTCACCAGAAGCAGTCCTAACTGGTACTTTGTCCCAATATGGATATATCTCAAAAATAATGTTGTAAGATACTAACTGAATAATATTAAATGAAAACAAATTGATAA